ATCTAGCGTTTAGAGAATGTGATCAATTTTTGTCTATGTTTAGATAATTAGTATTTATACTTTTCTTTGATAAATGTAGCGCTTAAAGAACACGATTATTTTTGTCTATATTTTGATTATTTTAGTACCAATTCTATTTCTATGATAATTGTTGACATTTTGTTTTTTATATATTTCTATTATGTCTTAACCATGTCTGATTTGTAGCATCCACAGATGTATATTTTGTTTTATAATCTTTATATGTGTATGGGCCGGTGGCCTTATAACTCAATAAAGTTTGATATTTGTTCATGCATAGCTCAAAAAGTATTTGACTTGTAGGCCTGAAAGTTTACAAGAATGTTGGTCAGCATGTGTACTTATGCACCTTGGGGTTTGCTTGTGGAATTATTCAGTATTTGTAAAGTTCTTGCCTTTTACTTAGTAAAAGATTTTTAGTTTTCAACAATTGACCTAGCGTCATAAGATTGGCAGAACAGTGGCATGTGGGGGCACCCGTGTCCTATGGACACATTTCTAATTTAGCGATAAAATCACTGCTTGGGATATTTATATTTCTTAATTGTATTCGTGTACAGTACAGTAGTTTCATTACTATATTTATTGAACTTGTTAAATAAAATATAACACTAGCCAGAATCTTGCATAATATTTGATTTGTTGAACTCATTATTTTAATGTCAATGTTTAAAGGTGAAGTAAGCCAGTAAAGTAATATGTTCTTGTAGTTTAATGAAAAACACTTTCCAACTTAAAGAAAGAGTTCTGAGTTCAAATCTCAGCAGGGACATACTTTCCTGTTTATGAATAGACCTAATGCTTTAATTTTTTAAATATATTATGCAAGAATAATATATTTAAGAAATAATTTATCCCAAACAGTGTTTTTATCGCTCAATAACATCACTGTTTGGAGTTCAGATGCGAGGAATTATATCACGAGGGCGTAGCCCACCGTAGGGAACGTGTTACAGTATCGCGTTTTTCGGTTACAGTTTAGAATTTTCAAGATGGAGGATTATTTATGGGAAGAAGGGTAGGTGATTTTTATTCAGGTCCATACTACTAGTAGTGTAGTTTCTAAAAGATGTTTTTTTGTGATTTGCTTGTTAGGAACAGAATCCGGTATCTAGTCATATATTTCTTCAGACCATGCACCGCAGATTTATCTCTATATTGTCTCATAAATGTGCAGATTTGACGGTTTAAAAATTTGAATCGAGAGACCAACGCATTTTTCTGCAATTTCGACATTATTTAAGCATGCCTAGATAAAGTAAATCTACAAAACGTTAGTCCTTCATGTTTAGAAACGTTTATAAAAGTAAATGACTAGTTGAACCTATTTTCCTGTTGGTAAAATGCGTTTGAAAAAATATACAATGTTACAGTATAGAGCGAGGTTAATTTTGAATGGTTACAGCATAGACCTACCGACTTTGATCCAATTTTGTTACAGTTTAGATACTTGCCAAATTTCAAACAAAGTTCGTGTATCCATTATTTTTATGAAATAACTCATACCTTTCTATTTAATACATTCTTGAAAGGTTGCATTACTTTTTTTCTTCAGCAGAATAAATAGTATGCTATTTTTCTTACTTTAAGTTTCAGATTGAGACTTTTTACAGAATAAGTAATGTCCTAAGTAAGGACTGTTTTCACGAGACCAACAGTAACTTTTATCGAATTGTAATGAGAGATGAAAGATTATTGCTTGATTTCATTACACATTATAATAATGCCTATTAGTAATAAAATAGAGAAAAAAAAGAATCCTTAACAGAAGTCCAACACGGAAAACATGAAAATGTCGCAGGCTCAGTTTGACTAAACCTGTTCATGGACGGTAGTGGTAACTGCAAGCTACCGTTCACGCCTCCTAGCACCGGCTTCAACAGAATTCACATTAAACCTTCAGATTTTTTTAACATCTGTGGATGTGTTCATATGGCGGTTATCATGGAACCTTCAATGTGACACGTTATTGCCATTCTATGAAAAGCGGCATATTACCCCCAGGTTAAAAATTGCGTGTGCCCTAAACGAGAATACAATGAGTGAAACTAAACAAAATGAAATTTTGAGAGGGGATCGGAGGTTATGCAGCCTGCATACCATAGATAAGCTGTCAAAAGACACAATTAACAATCAGGCAATACCCTAAGAATGATAAAACAGTATTTAAGTGAGCAATACTGCAACCTTAAATTCTATTTTAAGTTGGATTTTCCATCTACCATTATGTATGTTGTAAGTATTTAAAAAGGTTTATGAACATTTTCAATTTTGTTGTGTTGGAATTTCTTTAGGGATTCTGTTTAACTCTATTTTGTTACGTTTGGCTTTCTTGGATTTTAAGTTTCAACGACACTGAGGTCATGTGAAAACATTCCTGCTTTAGTGTAAAGAAAGACCCCAGATACCCTTTGTGAAACATTTCAGACACGAGCACCTAACTAGAACCACCGACCTTCCGTAAATTAGCTTGATAGATTCCTCACATACAAAGAATCCAAAAGTCATGATTGGATTTTCAACTACAGCAGTAAAATGAAAGATGATTTGAAGTCAACGGCCTTATCCCGACTCTGCCACTATTATGTACCTCATCAGGCTCACTAGTGAAGATATTGTATTTGTCTGACCTTAATTTATACTCTATAACTTTCAATATATTTTTCTTTTTCAGAACATGAAAACTGCTATACAGGATGTCTGAAATAAAAAAAAAACGACTTTTAATTTAATAATGACAAAATAATCGTAACTTCAGCAAAGAAGCATTCGAAATGACGCCATGATCATGATTTGATTTGAATGCTTTTGGTTCGAGATAAGTAGGGTCTTTAAACATTTGCCTTTTTTCAAAATCTATGTTTTGGGTTTTCGTATCCCCGATTGCGACCGAAACCATTTGAACAACTTAATTGGTAAAAAGTCATGTAAATTTCATCACATTTAGTCAAGTAGTTATACTGAGCGGATGAGATTGCACACACATGTGTACGACAGACGGACGAATAGCCATCGTGCCAATAAGCTCACAGAGATTTAAAAGTCTATGTAACATTCATACATTTTACCTAGTATAATTATATAGAAAATATCGAAGTCTAAACTGTAACCGAAATCTTGGTATAAACTGTAACGAAATCGGATACAAATCGCTAGGTCTATGCTGTAACTCTGCACAAATTACCCCGCTCTATACTGTAACATTGTTTATTTTTTCAAACGCATTTTACCAACAGGAAAATAGGTTCAACTGGTCATATACTTTTATAAACGTTTCCTAACATGAAGGACTAACGTTTTGCAGATTTACTTTTTCCAGGCATGCATAAATAATGTCGAAATTGCAGAAAAATGCGTTGGTCTCTCGATTCAAATTTTCAAACTGTCAAATCTGCAAATTTATGAGACATTATAGCGATGAATCTGCGGTGCAGGGTCTGAAGAAATATATGACTAGATACCGGATTCTGTTCCTAACAAGCAAAGCACAAAAACATCTTTTAGAAACTAAACTACTTGTAGTAAGGACCTGAATAAAAATCACCTACCTCTCTTCCCAACAAATAATCCTCCATCTTTAAAATTCTATACTGTAACCGAAAAACGCGATACTGTAACACGTTCCCTACGGTGGCGTAGCCCGAGTGATATAATGATGCGCATCCGAACGACAAACAGTGATGTTATCAAGCGATATAATCACCGATTTGGATATATTATTTCGATTCTAACACGACATCAACACATAAGTGCTGCCGTACCTGTTATTAAGCAAAATTGCGTCTGATTTGTTTCTGAACTTATTTTCAGCGCGTCGGATTTTTGGTGGTTGCGTCATGTGTATAATGATTACGTCACATGTCTAAATATAGAACGTCAAACTGTGCACCTGTTGCGTAATAACACACACTCTCGGTTCTTCTATGTTCAATAGGGAAAAATGCGGGTCGTGTTAGAATAAGTCTTATAGAAATACTAAGTCAAATGAAGAAAAAATCTAAAGGGGAAAAGTAGCATGACTAACCGTAGTGTTCTACACTCTGTAGTTCCTCTAATCCCAAGATGACACAGTTAGTAAACCACACTGTGTTTAATAAACTTTGTGGTGTTCTGCTGTCTAACACATGTTTTTCATACAAAATATTGATGTCATTATCACTGATTGGGCTGCATGCATTAGGTTTGTTGCCCTTTCCCATTTTCTTAAGTGACTTTTGTTTAGCTTTAAGAGCATTTCTGGTCATGTTAAAGAATTTTGTTCCAGATTCTTGCATTATTTTCACCGGGTATTTCATTTCCTTCAGTTTTCGGTCAATGCTTAAAATAATGTTTGGAACAGTTGTTGGCTCATATTCTTGGCCGTCATTTTTTCTCACTGACAAAATGAAATTTACCAAATACATTTCCTTAGGTGGTATATTTTGTAAATCTCTTGTTTCATTTCCCCCCCTTTAAAAATCTGGTGAATTTAATAACATAAAGATTGGTCTTCTTAATACTTTGCTTGTTTTCGGAATCTTTGATTAATTGCAATACATCACTCTCAGAGAGACTGACAAACTCATTGGTTTCTCTGCTACAGAGGGGATATCATTGTTTGTCACTGTAGTGTCACTCTTGGGGACAGGTTACTCTACTGTATAAAACTCTAAAACTTCGGATTCAATAAATTCATCATCAAAGGCAGATATATCTACCCCATACCTTTGAAAAAATCTTCTCTAGATATTTCAACAACATTTTCTGTTTGATTACAGTCATCAGTATCATTTGCAGGAAATAGATCATTCTATATTATGTCAAAAGTTGTTTGACTGAGGTAATCTGACATTTTTACAATTGCAGACGATTAAAGTATCCCAGTGTGCATTGCAAAATAGTAGCGAACTAATACCCAGCACGCAAAATTCATTCTTGAAGATATAAAAGTAAAGCTATCAGGCTTGAAAGGGGTAAACTATCAAATAATACAACACATGTACATGTAATAATGTTTATTATTCATTATGACAGGAAACATAACTGAAATAAGCCATAATAATCTTTTATTTGACAAAATCAAGAGCGTGGAGAAGTATGAAAGAAATTAGTCCATGAAATAAAAGTAGTCCGTGAAATAGTTGGTATTCATACGCATTGCTTAACCATGTGACATACTGACTGGAAATAGATAAGGTTATCCGGCAAGGCTTTTTCCAGCTGATAATATCATAAGACAGTAGCAGGATAAAAATATACAAAAGGCAGTGATAGCAGACTTTAAATTTCTCCGCCACTCGGAATAAAATTTTGAAAAACTGGTGCATTAACATTCCAATACATGGAAAGGGTTTTAATCTTAAAAGCTCCGAGCCTACAACATTTTTTTTTCAATTTTGATTTTTTGGGCGTTCTTTAAGGATTCCGTTTTTCTTTTTTTTTAATTCGAGCCATTATATTTCAATAACGTTTTGAGTTATTGTGTTAAGAATAAAAATAAAGTATTCATATTATAAAATTGAGAGTTGACAAGAAATTCATATTATAAAATTGAGAGTTGACATTCTTGTCAACTGCATAATCATTCATTCGTTTCAAATTAGTAACTTTAACATTAAAGCTTTGATGAATTAAGTTCTGGATGAAAATAATGCAAAAGAGAAACAGTACAACAATAAAACATGAAAATTATAACAAAATGGTAAAGCATGACAAATTTCAAACGCAATAATTAAAAAAAATGCAAATGATAAATTTTCATTCTTGCCCACTAAACTTCTCCTTTTTAACAATTTATATCTCAAATTGATTTTGTATTATACAAAGAAAGACAGTCAGACAATTTATTTCAATCAAATAAGGCTAATAAGCTCATGATGACATAATACAGCATATTTACAAGATAACGAACAGTGCATATATTAACATACAAAACATTATCACAATATAATTATGACTTTACTGGAGAAGGTCATAATAACAACTTATTCGTAAGAATGTAGAATAATGCAAATATTATTTTATGTTTGTCTCATGTACTTCCTATCTGTTAAAATGATTGCATGAATTAAATGTTCTGTTCTGGAAATGTTTAGCTACCCAAAAAATGATATAATTTACCATATTAATCTATGAAGTAGGTTGACAACAAACATAATAAATTTTCACTACATTACATAAATTGAGCCGTGTCATGACAAAACCAACATAATGGGTTTGCGACCAGCATGGATCCAGACCAGCCTGCGCTGTCTGATCAGGATCCATGCTGTTCGCTTACCGACTCTATTACAAGTAGAGAAACTGATAGCAAACAGCATGGATCCTGATCAGACTGCGCGGATACGCAGGCTGGTCTGGATCCATGCTGGTTGCAAACCCATTATGTTGGTTTTGTCATGACACGGCTCAATTATTAAACTAAATAAGTTTATCTTACCTCACTATTGAGGCAAGAGACATGGTTTATATCATATAAATTCCTATTATACCAATAATCCCATATTTAATCAGTCTTACCGAAACGAAACTGTAAGACTGGTAGTATGGCATGCAAATATACATGATTATATAACATAATTATGTTATATGTTATAAAATAAACTATAAATGAAAGAAAGGACACTTTCAAAACAGAAATCATCATTGATTTTAGTTTCATGTCTATACGTCAAAAACAGTTTGTGTTCTAAGAAAACACAAACTATAAATGACAACAAAGGACATTTTCAAAACAAATATCATCATTGAAATTTACAGGACATCTAAATTCATATAGAACCAAAATACTTCTGAAGTTTCCAGTCTACATCTCAAATACATTTTGTGTTACACTATGAAGAGAAGACAAACTTTAAATGAAAATTACGGACACTTTCAAAACAAAAAGGGAAATAATTAAAAATTATGATGGGAAGAAATATCATTTTTGTGCACTGCGCTCAAATTCTCAATGAATTGTATCAACCAATAAAGTTTAAAAAAATTATCATATACAATCTGTATTTCAAAAACATTAAGTAAATATGTATTACGCTCCAGATAAGAATGGGGGCCATTTTAAATGGGTTAATTTATATAAACTGGAGGCGTGTCGCTTTAATAATTTCCAGTATTAGGAAAAATAAAAGAATTTATTTAATTTTATCCATGAAATATGGTGCTATATCAGCCAAATATATATCATATTTGTGAAAAAACAAATATAAAAAATAAATATGAAAGTAACTACTTTCTAAGATGTTTCTTTTTTGCAAAGACTATCTTCAGCAATTCATTTCATCATCAGAAATTATCTCGTAATGTTTTTGTCTTTTCAAGACAGTTATGGCTGTGATAAATTGTGTATTGAATTCGAACCGCTCATCATATTTCGTGAAAATACCGTATATTAAATATTTCACTTAAACCCAAAAATTTCCTTTTATTATTTTACATTCTATACAAATATTAAGAGAAATTTATACAATACGCATATCTATATACACAAATTCAAATAAAAAAATCCATTCAGCTCTTAAAAGCTGCATGCCTCCAGATCAGCTTAAATAGTTCAATAAAATCAAACTTGAGAAAAATGTACTCATATTTTAACAAAAGTAAAAAGATTTATGATTCATTTAATAATTATACAATTTACATGTTTTGTAAGATTAATGACTAATTTATATAATGAAAACATCCCTATACTAACATAGAAAGGGGTATATAAACAACATATTTTCACTTCTTTTTGGTAATTTATGTGAATTATATGAAATTGTAAGCATCGTTTGCAATGTATTCAATTACTTTCTTTTTTCACTTCACAATTTTTTCCTTTTCAATACATCTTCCAAATTTTCACAGAATCCGGAGGCATGCTGTTTGAAAAGCATGCTTAGTTGATTCATATCATATCTATCCATTATAAATATATATTGACAGTTTAGAAAAAATGTGCAATTTGATATTGAGAATGCTATTGTTCAGAAGTGCACTCTGTATTGTCATTAAAATACTCAAGCCTTTCAACATTGTTATCAAATTTATCTCCAAAATGTACAATATTCTACCGTAGTCCTTATCTATGAGGCATGCAGCTTTAAAGTGATATCACTCCAAACAATGATTATTTACAAATAAGATAAATCATACACTAGCTAAAATAAATCAATGGTAACACAAATATACAGTTTAATTAAATTATACTGCACACTTGAAACTTCACTTTTCATGGGATAATCATGACATTTATAAATACTATATACACCACTCTGTCAATTTATAAATTCTTTATTTTTCTGTCATGAAGGAATTTTGCTCCATTGTAAATTCATTATCAGATTCTTCACAGGTAATATGGCCATATATAAACAGTAACTGTTGTAAGCAATATAATCCTCACCTAGCAGCTCGGGTTATACGAGGGTTGTCCAAAAAATTCGTGCACTGCACTTATTGTCGTGTGAGTTATTGATAGAAAAACATTAATTATATATCACTTGAAGGGGAGATATATCTTAAATTAGAAAAAAAAACAACAAAAAAACATGTAACCGGCATGTCCTGAAAACCAATCGTCATACAGTTACCTTGGTAACGTTATACCGGCGCACGACAAAAAATTGGGTTAGTTCATTACTTTGATGCATCACGGTATTCTTAAAACACTACATATTAACGTTAAAATTCAGGGAAAAGTGTGTGTACGTATTCCTAACGTCTTTAGAAAATATGGCGTCATTTGCCCTATTGTGATAGTCGTAAACAAACATTTGTGTGTGGTCGGCAATACTGTTATTACGTGAAAATGTCAGTCGCTAAACGTCTGGAAATACGGACGATCATTAAATTTGGTGCAAATATTGGTAAAACACCAACAAATACATACGAAGAACTTAAAAGGGCAAGCGGGACAAGTTCAGTGTCACGAAGGATGGTTTTAATTAAATGACACAAACGCTCTGTGAAAGAGAAAGAGAGTCGGTAGACTATGACAACCGGTCAGGCAGACGTCCGTCCGTAATGCCGGCGCATGTGACGAGGGTTGTCCAATATATTCCTGCACTGGTGGAATATGCTACATGTACGTTGCATAAAAACAATAAAAACTACACAATACTTTGCATCAATCATTGCTCTATTGACAGTGAAACAAATTTTAACATAAAAAAGCAAATACTACTTTACAAGCAATGAACGACTAATACAATTACAGTAATGAACTAACCCCATATTTTGTCGTGCGCCGGTATTACGTTACTTAGGTAACTCAAAGACCATTCTTTTACACGACACGCCGGTTACTCGGCTTTTCTTTTTGTTTTCTTATTTGAGACAGATTTCTCTTTAACGTTATAATTTATTTGTTTTTATTGGTAACTCTCACGACAATATGAATAACTGCAGTGCACGAATTTTTTGGACAACCCTCGTATATGCCAACAGCCATAACAAATTCAGAATCTTTATAACTGCAAATTATCATTTAATGTTTCGAAGCAAAGGGAACCATGAGAACAATATCAAAATTTGGTTATAAAGACTTATGAAATGTTATATATGGCCGTGCATGAAATGTTGTTTGTTATATAACCAACACCTCGTGACTTTGGTTACATACTTAAAGTTTGTAATATTGGGCAATTTAACCTGTCAGAATCATAATGTATCTTCATATACATAATTTCCGTGTATCGCCAAAATAAAAAAAAAATGTTATGTGAACATTAATTTTGTTCAGAAAACTGAATTATTAAAAAGAAGAGCGAAACTGTATATGTAAATATCATACACACTTCAAAAACTATTTACAAAACTATACATTTGTAATACATATAATACTAGAATAAGTGGTTTAAATTATATATTGTTTTTTTTTTATTTCATGCTTTCCAGTGTTTACTGTAATATATCAGATAATTGTATTCTGATAAACCACTAGTGAAATTTATAAAATATAATTTTCACTGTAGCCGGACTATATCTGAATGCGGATGAAAAGAATATCATAACTAACTGGAATAACGGGCAAAAATAAATGCAGTAACTCATACGTAATTTTGCTTCTTTTGGAAAAGGAAGTCGTAAATTTTGCTTCTTTAGGGAAAGGAAGTTGTACATCATTTTAAAAATGTAACAAAATTAGAGAAATTTAACAGAACTATATTTCAAAATTGATGATGTGACGTCATGATATTATGACGTCATAAAGGAGAATGTGCGACATTACGTGGCAAAATCAGTAAAAAATACTAAACATCACTTAAAAAGCATGAAATAAAAAGAAAATTTATTTGTTTTACATATAAGATTGAAATATATTTCATTCGTGAACACCAGCTATTATATTTTCACTCGTGGCTTTTACGCCACTCATGAAAATATTGCATCTGGTGTTAACTCAGTGAAATATAATTCAATTTTACATGCAAAACAAACAAAAATCCTCTATATAATATGGTAATTTTTTGTGTTACAAATATAGTGGTATATTTTAAATTTAAGTTCATTTTATCAACACAGAACAAAATTTAATGTAGTTTCCTTATGCTGACAACAACTACAGTCTTTAAACCGATACTAAATTTGTCAATACTAAATCTGTCACTTGGCTGTGCCAGACCAGAGCGACGAAATTCCCTTAATGCTGATTAACAAACTGTACGCTATACTAAACAAGGCACATTATACCTAAGAAAATAGATAGTCTCTAGCAAATTCAAGCAAGTTCAAGCATTTTCTAACAAAAATGTTTTGATAATGGTTTAAGGGCATGTTAGATGTTTAACAAGTGAAAAAATATAGCACTGAATTTTGACTTCCATACTAATATTAATTAACTTAAATTATAGCAATTGCCAACATAACAAAATCAGCATTAGAGAAATTATGTATAATTGGCAAAAGGGTTTATTTTTGGAAACTGTAACACAATAACTAAAATAAAAAGTATTGAAAAAATGAAATAAAACTGATAGAAATTCTAAAGTGTAATAGGCCTTCAATAAAAAATAATTTAACAATTCTTGATATATAATATCAGTCTTAAATTGCAGAAACAGACTTATACATGTACTGTATATCTAATTAAATCAAATTATTTCAATTATCTTTTTAACATAAAAGTTTATTTAAAGGAATACTGAAATATTTGACAGTGGTCTTGATGTAATTGTCCTTTGAGATTCAAATTCTAATTGTACAAAACAGATATCTGTTTGATGCAAAAATTTTCTATTTTGTTTCCATTTTTCTGCTGCTATTAATCACAAATTTAATCCACGTCTGTCCCCATACAGCCAGGTATCAGGTGTGAAATCATAATATCGAACTATTGAAGAACTTTAACATCTTTGTCATTCAGAACATCCCACTGATAATCATCTGGAGATTGATGGATAAAAAGCCAAACAGTTGTGATTGTCCTCATTGACTCTGTAGGTTTAGTATTGCTGAAATTCTGAAAGGAAAGCAAGAAGTCATAATTTTAAGATCATGTAGTAGGATTTTCCTATTCTAACAGTATAATAATATTTTATGTGTTTTGAATATACTGATTTTTTCCTGTCAATTTTCAAGCTAACCAATCCAAATGACTTTAATAGACTTGTCAATCATTCAGTCTGGACGGAACCATTCACCATATTTGGGAAAACTTTAAAATATTCATGTATATGCCAGCTGATCGTGGTCTGCATTGGTCACATGGGTATAGAATATGTTACCGCCAGGTGACTTAGAGTTAAAGAACCGAACCAGAGAGTATTCAAGTAGATTCACTGACCTCTTGTATTGCAAATAAAAAGAAATGTTATTGCAATCTAAGTAAAGACTGTAAACACATCACATATAATTTGGGATTTGCGACCGATTGTATTCTTTGACATAAAATAAATTATTACATAAAAAGCGGCACAGGAGTTTAATAAAGCCATTTAATAAAACAAGAGGGCCATGATGGCCCTGAGGTCGCTCACCTGTATGTAGGTCCCCGGAGCGGGGCCAGTTTAAACCCCAGGGCTTTAATTTGAACAAACTTGGAAGACACCTATAAGAAGATGTTTCATGATATACACACTTATAATGAAAAACAATGATCTGCCCTCCCCTACCCCCGGCAGGGCCAATTTTAACCAAGGGCTTTTATTTGAACAAACTTGGTAGACACCCATAAGAAGATGTTTCATGCTAAACATCTAAGCTGTAGCTCACTGGGTTTTTTAAAAGAAGATTTTTTAAAGTTTTTACTATACACATATAGTTAAAAACAATGACAGCCCTGGGACGGGGCCAGTTTTGACCCCAGGGCTTTTATTTGAACAAACTTTGTAGACACTTGCTAGAACATGTTTCATGCTTAATATCTAAACTCTAGCTATTTGGTTTTTTTTCAAAGATGTTTTTTAAGTTTTTGCTATACACATATATGGAAAATCAATGACACAGGGGCAGGGCCAATTTTGACCCCAGGGCTTTTATTTGAACAACTTTGTAGACACTCACTATAAAATGTTTCATGCTTAATATCTTAACTGTAGCTATTTAGGTTTTTTCAAAGAATACTTTTTAAGTTTTTGCTATACACATATATAAGGAAAATCAATGACCCCCGGGGCGGGCCAATTTTAACCCCAGGGCTCTTATTTGAACAAACTTGGTAGACACCAGTTAGAACATGTTTCATGCTAAATATCTAAGCTCTAGCTCTTTGAGTTCTTTAAAAGAAGATTTTGTAAGTTTTTACTATATACATATAGGGAAAATCAATGACCCCCTGGGGCGAAGCCAATTTTGACCCCAGGGCTTTTATTTGAACAAACTTGGTAGACACCCATTAGAACATGTTTCATGCTAAATATCTAAGCTCTAGCTCTTTGAGTTCTTTAAAAGAAGATTTTTTAAGTTTTTACTATATACATATAGGGAAAATCAATGACCCCCTGGGGCGGAGCAAATTTTGACCCCAGGGCTTTTATTTGAACAAACTTGGTAGACACCCATTAGAACATGTTTCATGCTAAATATCTTAGCTCTAGCTCTTTGAGTTCTTTAAAAGAAATTTTTTAAAGTTTTTACTATATGCATATAGGGAAAATCAATGACCCCCTGGGGTGGGGCCAATTTTGACCCCAGGGCTTTTATTTGAACAAACTTGGTAGACACCCATTAGAACATGTTTCATGCTAAATATCTAAGCTCTAGCTCTTTGAGTTCTTTAAAAGAAGATTTTTTAAGTTTTTACTATATACATATAGGGAAAATCAATGACCCCCTGGGGCGGAGCAAATTTTGACCCCAGGGCTTTTATTTGAACAAACTTGGTAGACACCCATTAGAACATGTTTCATGCTAAATATCTTAGCTCTAGCTCTTTGAGTTCTTTAAAAGAAATTTTTTAAAGTTTTTACTATATGCATATAGGGAAAATCAATGACCCCCTGGGGTGGGGCCAATTTTGACCCCAGGGCTTTTATTTGAACAGACTTGGTAGACACTCATTAGAAGATGTTTCATGCTAAATATCTTAGCTCTAGCTCTTTGGTTCTTTAAAAGAAAAAAAAATTAAGTTTTTACTATATGCATATAGGGAAATTCAATGACCCCCTGGGGCGGGGCCAATTTTGACCCCAGGGCTTTTATTTGAACAAACTTGGTAGACACTCACTAGAAAATGTTTCATGCCAAATATCTGAGCTCTAGCTCTTAGGGTTTTTTAAAAGAAGATATTTAAAGTTTTTTCTTTCTGTTGCCATGGCAACCAGAGTATTGCATGGAATTAAATTCTTTGAACAATTTTTAAAGGTGACCACCAAAGGAACATTCCTGTGAAGTTTGGATGAAATTGGCTTAGTGGTTTATGAGGAGATGTCATTTAAAGTAAAAGTTTACGGACGGACGACGGACTGACGACGGACGAAAAGCGATCACAAAAGCTCACCCTGTCACTTTATGACAGGTGAGCTAAAAAAGGATATAACACTATAGTGTAATAACACTTTGACATGACGTACTTTGCGCTATAATCTTTAACATAAGCATTAAAGCCTGTTTATGTTAGTGTTACACTAAAGGCGCCTCAATGAAAAATGACTCTTTAACAGTTTAACATTCTTATTTTATATATGTGATAAATAGAATATTATATATTCGTGTAGATTCAATACTTAATTTATTGAACTCGTTGAATAAAACATAATTATGCTCGCCAGAGGCTCACATAATATGATTTTATTCAACTGGTTCAATAAATTTAGTATTAAACCTACACTCATTCAATATCCTCTATTTAATGTATAGTTGATATTTTTTGTCAATCAATTACCGATACAGAATTGAAATAAAATCAATACTTTTGCCTATAATCATCAATGAAACTGGTTTAGGAATGCTAAAACTAGCAAAAAATACAAACATAACTAGAAATGTGTCCATAGGACACAGGTGCCCCCACCGCGCCACTGTTCTGTCAATCTTATGACTCTAGGTCAAATATTTTTTGAAAACTAAAAATCTTTTACTAAGTAAAGGGCAAGAACTTTACAAATACTGAATAAATCCACATGCATAAGTACACATGCTGACCAACATTCTTGTAAACTTTCAGGCCTACAATACTTTTTGAGCTATGCATGAACAAGTTGAAAATTGCAAATTTATACTACTGTAAGTCAAGGGCAATAACTCTTACAAAACTGAAAAAAATCCACATGCAAAGTCCCAGGTTCATAGCTTCACAGTAATGTGAATCATTATTCCTGTAATTTAGTGATGTTGATTATTATTTCTGTAAAGTTGGTTGATTCTAACTCAAGCACTCAAGGAACAAATAACAACATAATGAAACGGTTTTTACTAAGTCAAGAGAAATAACTCTACAAAAACTGAAACCCCAGGTGCAAAACTAAATATGCTGAGCAACCTTCCGTATGGTTTAATGACTCTATATGTCAAATCCTTTTTGAGTAACATGCGACACAAAATGAAAATTGTAAAAATCATTTAAGTCAAGGACTAAATAACTCTAAAAATACTAAATAAATCCAATCGAAAATACTCAGGAGCACAACTACACAATCATGCTGATCAATATTCCTGTAAAGTTTCATGACTCTATGTCAAATACTTTTTGAGTTACGGTACATGCGACACAAGTTGAAAATTGCAAAATTTTACTAAGTCAAGGGCAATAACTCTAAAAATACTAAATAAATCAACACGAAAATACCCAGGTGCACAACTACACATGCTGATCAACATTCCTGTAAAGTTTCATGACTCTAGGTCAAATACTTCTTGAGTTACATGCGACCCAAGTAGAAAAATGCGAAATTTTACTAAGTCAAGGGCAATAACTCTAAAAATACTAAAAATATCCAGACAAAAATACCCAGGTACACAACTACACATGCTGATCAACATTCTTGTAAAGTTTCATGACTCTCGGTCAAATACTTTTTGAGTTATGTGCGACACAAAAGTGAACAGACGGAAGGACGGACAGACGGACAAGGGTAAATCTAAATGCCCGCCACTAAAGTGGGGGCACAAAAATGGGCACGTCTAAAACTATACCAGCCGTAACCGTTGTTACTTGATGGATTTTATTTATTTTGTTAATTTACATATTTTATAGCAGTGATAATAACAAGAGCTGGCAGAGGAGACAACACACTCTACTAAATAAATCCATGTGTAAAGGAAAACAAAACTATGAAAAAAAATAATTATGATACAAACACATTTTTGTATAGGTATCAAGAAAGCATTTATATGTTCAATATTTTTGCATCACATAATTTGCATGACACCATGTCATTATAGAAGTTCAACATACATTTCTATGATCTAACTAAAAAGGCAACAATCTGAGTCATTTTTAGCTCGACTTTTTTTTTTTGAAAAAAAAAGTAGAGGTATTGTTATAAACGGGTCGGCGTTGCCGTCCGCAAACTTGTACCTTGATCATAACTTTTTATTTCTTGGTGTATTGTCTTCATACTTGGCCACAGCAACCCTTGGGACACAACCTTTCAGTAGACAACACTAACCTTGACCTTCATCCATAAATGACCTTGACCTTCAAGGTTAAAAGTCCAATTTTTGCTTGTTCATGCTGTTATTTGCCGTAACTTTGTTATTTTTGAATGGATTGTCTTCAAACTTGAACATAATAATCTTCAAGGATATCCCTTAAAAATATCCCGCCTGACCTTGACCTTCACTCATAAATGACCTTGACTTTGAAGGTCAAATTATTGAAATTTTCATTTTTTTGGCTATTATTGGCTGTAACTTTGTTATTTTTGAATGGATTGTCTTCAAACTTGAACATAATTATCTTCAGGGATATCCCTTAAAAATAACTAGACATCCCTTGACCTTCACTCATAAATGACCTTGACTTTGAAGGTCAAAAAATTATTGAAATTTTCATTTTTTTTGGCATTTATTGGCTGTAACTTTTGCTATTTTTGAAAATGGATTGTCCCTTGAAACTTGAAACATAATAATCTTCAGGATAACTGGTTAAAAATATACCGAAAGACCTTTGACCTTCACTAATTAATGACATTGGGTCTTTGAAAGTTCAAATTATTGAAATTTTCATTGTTTTGGCGGTAACTGACCTGTAACTTTGCTATTATTGAAGGAATCAACTTCATTTATAAAGAACATTCTTAAGGACCCAGACCTTGTTGTTTATCAAAACCCCAAATTTGCTTGGGCTCTTTAATTGACCTTGACCTTCGAAGGTTAAATTTACTGAATTTTCTCAGATTTGTTCATTAAATGACCATAATTATAATATTTTATTGGTGTGTGTATGTGTATATATCATATATATTTACAAACAACAACAACAATAATTGCGGTAATGTTTCCTATATATAGAATTGCATCATTGTTTCTATTTATAGAAATTGCGTCATTGTTTCTATTTTTTGAAATTGCATCATTGTTCTTATTTGTTAGAAATTGCGTCATTGTTAGAAATTGCGTCATTGTTGCTATTTACAGAAATTGCTTCATTGTTGCTATTTTTAGAAATTGCGTCATTGTTTCTATTTATAGAAATTGCGTCATTGTTTCTATTTATAGAATTGCGTCATTGTTTCTATTTATAGAAATTGCGTCATTGTTTCTATTTTAAGAAATTGCGTCATTGTTTCTATTTTTAGAAATTGCGTCATTGTTTCTATTGTTAGAAATTGCGTCATTGTTAGAAATTGCAACATTGTTGCTATTTATTGAAATTGCGTCATTGTTTCTATTTATAAAATTGCGTCATTGTTGCTATTTTTAGAAATTGCGTCATTGTTGCTATTTTTAGAAATTGTGTCATTGTTTCTATTTATAGAAATTGCGTCATTGTTTCTATTTATAGAAATTGCGTCATTGTTTCTATTTTTAGAAATTGCGTCATTGTTGCTATTTTTAGAAATTGCATCATGTTGCTATTTTTAGAAATTGCGTAATGTTGCTATTTTTAGAAATTGCATCATGTTGCTATTTTTAGAAATTGCATCATGTTGCTATTTTTAGAAATTGCGTAATGTTGATATTTTTAGAAATTGCTTAATGTTTCTATTCATATATATATACAAAATATATAAACAAAACTAATGTGACAAGACAGACCAACTAAATTTATAAAAAGGAAACGTTAAGATATGTTCAAACCTTTCTATGTTTGCGTTTAGAAAAAGTAAAAAGTCGAGCGTTGCCCCCGCCCGGCGGTGGCTCTTGTCCCTTCAGCAACAAAAGTGATAAGAGCAAGAAATTTTTAAATAAATCTAAAGTTCAAAGAAGAAATTTCTCTTAAAATAAAGATGTTGGAGTTATGAACCTTGTTGTACATGTCGGAATAATGACAAAGAACAATTTTATCAAGTCTTAATTACATAGATACCATTTATATAACAAAAAGATATTAGAAATATTTATCAAAACTTAAAGGGACTCCACTGAGGTTTTTTGAAATGATGGAACTGAAAATATTTTTTCCAGATAAATGTACCATTTGAAGTAGGTTTAAACCACTAATCTTTGTGCAAAATTTCAGATCATTTGCGCACTTTGTTTTTCCAGAATAATTATTCTAATTGTAAAAATATGACCATAAATGAAAAGCATTTAAACGCTTTTCACAACAAATCGAGCTAAGAAAAGCATAAAAATACGATTTTCAATTTATTTCGAAGTATATTATTTTGACTATCTTTGCATATATTTCAGTTTAAAGTGCCCCAGCTTATTTATGTATGAAAATTCAAATTTTATGTTCTTAGGCTTTTAAACCTCCATCACAAGTTTGAAGTTCATAAAGCAAGTTCGCTGTTATTAAGTTATTGACTGGACACAGTTTTGTTTTCAGACTGACTGACAGAAGAACCAACTGCCGACCGACAAATGTGATGCAATTAGTCACTTAGTGCAATATATCCCCACTTCTACTAAGGGGGCATAACTATGTTAATTTACATAATTATACAGTTTATTAGGCTGTCCATCATAAAGATATTTGTAAAGTCTTACCAAGACAATGGGAAGTTTTTCAAAAACAAATCTACAAATTGATCTATCATCACACAATGCTCCATGTAAATGTCATGGGAGATTATGCACAACAAAGAATCGGAAATTTTGATCCATTAGGCCACTGAAACGAGAAATAACACATATTGTTAAATGTATATTATAATATATGTGATGAACTGATTTCCATGAAACATAAAATATTACAGGCGGCAGAATACTGACGTGTAGATTTTACTGTGACATCATGACTGAAACTCTTGCAATTACTTGAATAAATGATTTATGTTTTCTGGTAAATGGGTAACAAAATACCCTTGTTATTAAATGAGGCGTATTTGAAACAATGAACAAAAGGCATGGCAACCAGAGCATGGCAACCGAAAAAAAACCTTAAAAATTGTCTCATACCATCTAAAAAATTTTCTATTACCATCTCATGTCTTCAGGTTGGGGACATGATGGTGAATGGTGAACAAGCCTGAAAAGTTTCAAAGCCATATGTCAATGGACTTTGAAAATATTTGAGGTGGAATGCAAACTTTAACATATATTCTAAGTCGAAAAAGGGGCATAATTCTGCCAAAATGCTTGATAGAGTTACCTCCTCCTGTCTGCAGGTTAGGGTCATGATGGTGAATAAGTGTGCAAAGTAACAAAGCCATATGTCAATGGACTTTGAAAATATTTGAGGTAGTACGCAAACTTAAGCATAAATTCTAAGTAAAAAAGGGACATAATTCTGTCAAAATACTTAAAAGATTTACCTCCTCCTGTCTACATGTTTGGTGCATGATGGTGAATAAGTGTGCAAAGTAACAAAGCCATATGTCAATGGACTTTGAAAATATTTGAGGTGGTACTCAAACTTAAGCATAAATTCTTAGTAAAAAAAGGGACATAATTTTTTCAAAATGCTTAATAGAGTTACCTCCTCCTGTCTACATGTTGGGGGCATGATGGTGAATAAGTGTGCAAAGTAACAAAGCCATATGTCAATGCATTTTGAAAATATTTGAAGTAATATGCAAACTTAAGCATAACTTCTAAGTCAAAAAGGGACATAATTCTGTCAAAATGCTTAAAAGAGTTACCTCCTCCTGTCTACATGTTGGGGGCATGATGGTGAATAAGTGTGCAAAGTAACAAAGCCATATGTCAATGGACTTTGAAAATATTTGAGATGGTACTCAAACTTATTAATAAGCATAAATTCTAAGTAAGTAAAAAAGGGACATAATTCTGTTAAAATGCTTAATAGAGTTACCTCCACCTGTCTACAGATTGGGGGGGGGGGTTAGCTATTTAACAATTGCTCATACATATTCATGTGTCTTTATTAACTAAGTTTTATTCTAACTATAAAATAAAATAAAAAATATGGAAAAATGTTAAAAGTAGAATTTTTTATTATAATATAAAGTGTTTTTATTTAATCTAAATAAAATATCTTATTATAGATATATAATTCAAAAAGAATAATCTATTTCAATACTTAGGTGTGTAAAATGAAATAATATATAAAAAAAAGTAAAAAATTCAATATAAAATCTCTTACCTGTAAAATATTTCCAAATCCTAATTCCAAGTTATCCATTAACTTCCGGTAAAAAACTTCCTTGAATTATTTCTCATCTTAAAATTGTTTTTATTTATTTATTTATAAACAACTGTCACTTAATTAAACTTTAAACTGAAATTAATGTTTGTAAATTAAATATACTAACTATACAGTACATATATAACGTTGAAGAAACCGCCATTTTGTTTTCTAAGTGTCCTTTCTAAGTGTCCATTTATAATTAAAATCATTGAAGTTATTTCATCAGTTTATTTCACAATGTTTTTTCTTTGTTTATTCTTTACTTGGTTTTATTGTTTTGAACTCAATCACTCCTCCCCACCAGTCGTCTTGTATCACATGAAAAGTGTGTGAACTCCGAATATTTTCTATAACACGGTCATATGCTGTCCTCGGTCTAATGTATCTCATCTTTACTGTTAATGACTGCGGAAGATTTTTCAGCACGATAATAAAGTTCTGTAAACTTCCGGGAGACATTTCTATATACCCCAACTTCACACGTTCAATATTCAACATGTCACGTGACAGTAACAATGAACGTTTATCTAGATTGATGTCGTCCAACGTAACATAAACTAATGACGGTGTTGTTATATTTAATTGTAGCCTCACAGGTAACAGCCACAAGCGTAACTTTGATAGAGTTGAATGTTGAGACAAGTCCAAGTTCCATCTCTTACAATCATGGTCGCCATGTTCTTTACAGTCTAACCTTCTCAATTTTAACTCTTTCATTGATTTTTGAGCGGAGATAAAATTGAAAAATGTTTCCAGTATTTTGTGAGATAACGTGAAGCCGACAATATAGAAATATTGTAAGTTTTGTATTCGCGCTAAATTTTCCCTCAGATTTTCTTCATCATTTATCAATGTACCAGACAACAAAGTAACGTTCTGTAAACTGGGAAACAATATCCGGCTTATCTCGGCCTCCTTCTCGCTGACACCACTATAGTAAAGTTTCTGTATATGACTGAGATCTGTGAGAGAGAATAAATCTATAATTTCACGTAAACTGCTGGAAGTAAGGCTGGTGTTTATATAAAGTGATTTTATGTTGGTTTTATTTTGTTTTAACAAACGTTGTAACAGCTTACTGTCCACGGTGCGCCGGTCAATGAAGAAATCTTGTAAACATAATTGAATATTTTCACTTTCAGGCATTTCTTGTAAACACGACATGAACATTTCCTGTATGTTATACAATGGAGTATTGTACGTGTCCTCGCGACCTGTCCTAGTTCTATAGTCACGTGTTTTCTCGTCTTCATTTATCACAGACATCGAATCATTTGATATTTCACACATCCGGTCAGCATTCATTTTACTTATAAATTCACAAATTTTTGACATGTCCAGAATATCTTGAACACTTCTACATTTTTCTAGAACACTTTGAGAACTTATAAATATGGCGGCAAAGAATTCTTGCACTGTTTTGTGAGAAAACGATACTTTACTAATTTCTTTAATTAAAGTTTTACTTCTACTTTCTGACAGTATTCCTGAGAGAAGACTTAATTTCATGTCGTCTGCTTTGAGATATATATCAGCAACCATTCTATCAAATACCAGCGTATTTTCTCTTGTTTCGTTAAATAATGTTTGGTAAGCTAGTTCCGCTAATGATTTTATAAGACTGTAAAACTTTTTACAAAATTCATGACTTTTGAAGTATTCTGGAATTTCACTAGTAGACGATTCACGACGTGGTTGAACTTCCGGGTGTTTCTTTGACGTTCTTGATAATAGAAATTCAATGATATTGGTGTAAATTTCATGTTTTGAATTTCCAATAGGAATGTTGTTACACCATAGGGAAACTATATACATAAGGAGGAGTGGAATCACTTGTATGTGTTCTAGGCGACGGTCACATATCACTTCATTAAAGTCCCGTCTTTTACTCTTCAGTACTCTATCGTCACGGACACCGGTCATTTTTCTTATAGCATTTTCTTCAAGTTGCTGCGTAGAATCTGCACTTAATTGAACCAATTCTACTTTTTTGTTTATTTGACTTGTTTTGAGATTTGCAACTCCAAGCTTCCACGGTCGAGTTGTCGTTAGAATAACACAATTATCACGTACGTACCGATGTGGGATTTTTTCTGTTACTTCGCTACAGCTATTATCAGGGTGGATTACAATGTGTCCCATTCATCAAGACCGTCCAATATAATCAAGCATTTTTTCTCTACGTAAAACTTCCTCTAGTTAGTCCAGAAGTAGGAAGTTTCCTCGAAATTTTTTGTTTAATCATATCGTCAATGTTACAGACAGAGGGTACAGTCTCTTAATAAAAACCAAAAATAAGAACTTGAAGTCAAATAACGTCTTTAACTCGTCGTCTTTTAAAACAGGCGTAGTTTTCATCGTGACAATGAGCTTGACACCACGTGACTGCAAAGATATTTTGAGGGAAAGCAGTTTTTTTTCCGAAACCTGCCATCAGCTGATAAATACATTTCTTGTTGCATCTCCACTTCCGGTTGAAAACAGGTCTTTCAAAGACTTGATCGGTGTTCTTTCCTCTTCATGACAAGTTAGGGATTTCTGTTTTACGGCGACTATATCAGGCATCACGTAGAACCCAGCTAAAGGTGTCTCTATTTCTTCAAGAAGCGGTGACAGAGGTATTGAACTACACCTTTTTCTGTAGAATTTAATCAGGTCGCCTTGAAGTTCTGAAAAGAAAGTAAAAAAGTGTTTATCAGCGACAATCTTTCTATATAATATATAAAATGCTGAGGTGTTACTAACTTCAATTTTGCATAGTTAGGAACGAATAATGCATAATGACAAATAAGAAGTAGATATGTAATATTATATTCAGATGCTATGTTTAACATTAACAATGCATAATTAAAGCTAAACTTTGTTTTAATAATTGCATAAATTCATATGCAAAAACGAAGTATTTCCATCGTTATAATTAATACATTGTATGCTTGAAAATAAGCATTTTCCTTCTTCATTCTGAACCCGAAGAATTGGTGGGGGAGGGTCAAGCTAAAGAAGAAAATATTTCTTCTATAGTTCATTGTATGAACAAACACCAAGAAAGATATATGTTTAACATGTTTGAACGGGCGTTTTAAAATGATATTTTTACATTAAAAATATGAAGACAAATCTTGATCAAATGATATTTTTACATTGAAAATATGAAAACAAATAGTTATCACGGAGGGGAAATAAGAAGGGGGAATTTTCGAGAGTATTTCCTCCTGATTTCTCCATCATTTTAATTTTGCCTTATCGGAATTCCTCGGCTATTATTCATAATCAGACTTAATACGGACTATTGTTTGATTTTATTAACCTGACGATAGCATACTTATGAGACTGATTATACGATCAAAGCACACAATATATAGATATACTGTAGATTTTCGGCAAAGCACCTTATAACATGTGATTACATTTATGTGTTTCTTGTAATATCCCTGTAGTTATACTGAGCGTCTTTAAAAGCAATAAGGGGGTACCCCTAGCCCGGTTATTTTTTACCCCTTTTTGTAAAAACTTGGTCCCCTTTCTATTTTTAAAAATATTAAAAAAAAAAATAAAGAACGAAACCCCATGAAACAGTTTTTCCTCCCGAACCCCTGACCCCTCGTAACCCGGAAATCACCCTTTAAAAAAGTGGTTTATAACACCTTTATACTGTGAAATTTTTAAAAAAATTAATTTTTTATTTTCCTTTTAAAATTATCCCTAAACCCATACATGGATATAACCGAAATTGGATCGAAAAATTTTAAATTAAAACCTTTTTTTTAAAATTTATTCATATTTGGGCCCGGGTCCCCTAAAATCAGACCCGTAAAGTAATTTCTACCCACGTGATTTTATATGTAAAACACAGAGTGTAATCTTTGATAAAGAATACGATGTAAATATTTGACATTCAAAAAAGCCTGTTTCGGTACAATTTTGATTGAAAATGTCTGACAACCATGTTCAAATCAAATTATATAAACATACTGGACCCTATGTCAACAGGTTGGCATTTTGCACTTTCGGTTTCTTAAACCATAAGCTTAATAATGCATTGTTTACTTTTATATCTATGAATTTACTTAATTTCGGTAGACTTATACTCTATATTTTGGGAGAAGAAAAAACTTAGTCATCAACTCCCAGCATTGAATTGCTATTAACATGGTTAGTTACCTGCTAGGTTAGACCAAATTACCATACACATACTATTCAAGAATGATAGATGATGTGTTTTAAAGTAGGCAAATATTCAATTACCCATTTAAATGGCCAAACACAATCACATCTTCTCGGCCCTTTCCACCAAACTTTGGATAAGTACATTGGACACAATTGACTATTGTGTCAGAGGGACATTAAAATGGTTTTTTGAATAATTGTCTACTTTGAAACACATCATCTATCGAGTCACCGTACCTGTGCTTGACCAGCCCAATTGCTCGACCAATACTTCCATTTGCGTACGATTTATGCGTTATTTAAGTGAGAAAAAAAACGCTCGGAGATTATTTATGCTATTTATACCTGACCTGTAACCTCTACACTCAAAGTTTGGTAGAACTTGTCAGTTTTGCAGACGATAATAAACAGTACAAAAATATATGTCTATAATAAAAGTTGCAGTAAAAACTATTTAAAGGACTGAAATAATGATAATTTAGGGCAAATTTGGACAATGCTTTGTTAAATTTCCTTTACTCTTAAGTTTTCAATTGAGTTCAATGGGAAAGGCTCCCACAAATCATCAAAACCCGGCTTCCCATACAAGGCAATGGCTACAACATGTAAACAAATATGGCAGCTGTCCGGTTACAAATAGGGAACACATCACTGAAAGGGCAGACCAACTGTATATTACATTAAGTATCACACTTTACTATGTTTGCAGTGATAAGTAATCTCACCCCCCCCCCCCCCCCACATTAATTTTCCTACCTATCATATTTATCTCATATTTATATCCATACACACTAAAACAGAAATGTTCCAAAATATTTTTGAAATAAAATTGTTAAACACAAAAAGTCATATCTGTTTTTCAAAAATAAAAATTCTGATAAAAAATAAAACCACCTGGTCGAGCATTGGTTACGTGGCTTGAAAAATATACTGGTTTTAGGCCCTATGTACAACTCCGTGGTAAATGGTATCCTGATCTGTGTCATTATATTATGAGTTTTAAAGGCCCAGCTTTGTAACAAAAATAAGTTTCCGATCAATATTTTTGTTTTGAAAGAGTTTTTTCTGGATTTTGTGAAATACTAGTTGAGCACTGGTCCGGTGACTTACCTATTCATGTTTATCCTTCATTATCTGATTTTTTACATTTTTCATGGATAATATTAGATGTTTAAATGTAAAAATATGAAATGTTAAATAACTTTTTTCAAGGCTAGCCATCTGAAGGTCACTAGACTTTGGTTTTTCAGCGTATAACATAAATGAGTGGTAAATATCTAATCGAAACCGTTAATAACAGTGGACTATAATTATACATGTATAACATCATAAGTCAACAATAATTTGACATAAAATAAAACAATAAATTGTCGTCTGCTATTACTTCCGTGACAAAATAACATAATTATTGTAAAGACATTTTTTAAAACAGTCAAAACATAGAATAAATAAATTTTCAGTAAATCAAAATCTTACCATTTCTATCACTACTACTACAGAATTCGCATCAAAAACAAACAAAAAGGAAAAATGTTTAAAAATGTTCCATCACTGGTGAATATGCGCGGACAACTGAAACGAACATTATATATCTATAAATAGAAATTTATTACTTTTTGACAAGCATAGCCAACTAGGGGAGGAGCCAGGATTTAAGGTAAGACAGTGCATACTATCACGGGTGAGGAACGGTTACACGAAGGATGGAGTTATTATGATAACTTGTCACGCAGTTCATGGAAAACGTAACAGATTTCGTCGGAAAACTTTATTGTAGTGAAAAATTGAAATATAGTTAAATGGGGAGTTCAAGTGTTAAATTAAACTTTGATGATTAAAGACATTTTCTGCAGTTTTATGAAAAATTAATCCTTTCATAGAATTTTCTAAATTTTTTGTATGATGAGTAAAATTTAATGACGAATTTAAAAATAAAAAGAAAAATATCTGTTGACGTGTTGGATTTCTTGTAAAATGGCACTTTCCATGGTAACCGTCTATCTAAATACTGTCAAAATAGCCTAACTGTGTTATAACGAATAGAAAATGTATAAGATAGCTTAAAACACACAACGAGCATTGTTTTATGCAAAGATAATCTTATCTAATGATTCTGTATGAAACAAATGATAATCTGAACATATTTCTTTAAAAAATGAGTTTTCCATGTTCCTCAACCGAACAAAAAATGAGAAAAATAAACATGAATTCTGAGAATAATTAGAGATATTGAAAAAAGTGTTTCATAGGATTTTCTGATTTTTTTTATATGTAGTGTAAAATTTAATGACAAATTCAAAAAGAAAAAGAAAAATATATGTTGGCGTGTTGGATTTTTTGAAAAATGGCAGTTTCCATGGTAACCGTATATCTCAAAATTGTCAAAATAGCTAAACTGTGTTATAATAATGTATAAAATAGCTTATTACACTCACAATAAACATAATTTTATACAAAGCTTGCTTTATCTTAGGGTTCTGTATAAAACAAACGACAATTGGAACATATTTCTTCAAAAAATAAGTTTTCATGCTTTATAACTAAACAAAAAATGAGAAAAATTAACATGAATTCTGTAAAAAAAGCTATCAAGAAATTTCTTTCATAGAATTTTCTACATTATTGATATATCAAGTAACATTTGATGGTGGATTCAAAAATAGAAATAAAATATATATGTTGACGTGTTAGTTTTTTGTAAACGGGCAGTTTCCATGGTTACCGCATATGCCAACTGTCAAAATTACCACGCTTTCTTAAGAAATATCCGTGTTATACTAAATGTATTGTCAAATATACAACAAAAACATGTTGTAATAAAAATTTCTTTTTCTTTGGATGTCATATTAAGTGAATGATATTGAATATCTTTATAAAACATATCTAGGGCCATATTATTTTTTCACTCGACTAACATACTCGAACAGTAAGCAAGTATTCAGAAATTTACAAAGAAAATAATGAAATTCGGAACATTTCTTAGATATTAATTTTGTTTTTTTTATTCAACACTTTTAAAATATATCAATTTAAACTTCTTTGCCCAGTTGTCTGCCAGTAATCAAGTCGCGACGCACTTTCGTCACTATACCACAAGTGGGTGGGGTAACGCGCGCAGAATTATCATCAATGATGTCGTACTAATGCTTGGAGAAATCCTTTATGTGATGTTGTCTAAACGACCTCTTATTCTTTTGAACCGATCTCCTTTTGAACTATTAGAAATATCTATTCTGTATTATTTACTCATTATTTGCTTATAGCCGAAATTTAAACACTTATCCGAATACTATTCAACTTGACCTTCATTTGAAGAGTAATTATCCGTGATTATCTTTCAAATTTGTATTTTATTTCAGAAAAAAACTTGAAAGTCAATTTTTCATCGCCTCTTGTTTAAAATCTGGTAGTTTTGTGTAAAAATTCCAAATTACTTGCTCACTCGAACATACTGACCTTTTTTATTTATGATCTTCTTATCTAATTATAATGGAAAGTTGCA